AGCAATACTGACAGTTTTGTGGCCTACAGGCTCAATTCTACACAAATACTGATAATAAAAGAACGTCATACATGCATACAACACCATGAATTTATGTATCCAAAGGTATGAGTCCTTCACAGGCACAAGGCTGTGGAGAGCATGTGGCCTCAAAATTTCTTTATTTGTCTTTGAGGCTAAAAAGTCTTGAGATGGGAAAGGATTTTTTTAGACAGCAGAGCTAGAGACGAAGCGGATCCTCTGGGAGTAAACAAGATCAACAAAATACAGGATCATGTTGACGTTGGTGAACACTGCCACCACCAGCTTACTCTCCCAAGGACAGTCTCCACGTAGGCAGTCCTCAGGACGAGTAGTGGTACCATATTTTTTGTCAAAGCTAAAGATGGGCCAGATCAGTGCAGTGCTGAGGTAGAGGACCACAGCGAAGAAGGTGTAGACAACCACAAACCGGTCAAAGGGGAACCGCAGGGCCGAGGTCCTGCCAGAAACTGTCAGTATAACCACTATGACCGTTACGGAGAAGCAAAGGCTGTACACCACCACACAGTACTGGGTGGCAATGTAGAGGTTGTACTCACTGTCATTGGCCAGGGCCCCGAAAATAATACAGGCCACAAAACCCTGGACCACCTTGAGTAGGCCAGACACAGTGGCCATGTAACCCACCACAGCACCTGGTTTGGCCCGAGTAAGGAACACCTCAGCACCGTATGGGAAGCAGCAGACACTGGAGCATACAGTCACAGCAATGCGGTACATTTGGACTTCACAACCCTCATCAGGACAATCTGTTTGGAGGAAGTAAACTGGGTAGACCACAGAGGCAGTGATGTACATGAGCGTTGCCAGCATGGCAAAGGCCACAGTGAAGTTATCCCAGGATATGGGCATGCATGTGTGGAGTCGCGTAATGTCCAACGTGAACACAAGCAGTGTGACGGCAAAGCAGAAGCACCACACAAACATGCAGAAGGTTCCATAGGTGGCGCTGTAGCCCGCGCTGTGGGACACAAGGGCCATTATGGTGCAACCGAGTAGCAGCTGGCACATTCGGGCTGCACCTAAAGGTGACAGCACAGCTTCTTTGTTGAGGTAGTGTCCTCCATTAGAATCCATGGTTTGTGTCGTCCCCGCAGAAGCAGCTGCTCCTGTCCTCACTTTTGATGTCCTTGCGGCCCAAGTCGCAGACCTCACCCTTTCCTTGGTTGCCTTTTATAGATGGTCCTTAATTACAAATGTCTGTAATTTTTCCCTGAGCTTGCTTTGTAATTACAGTGGTGTGCTTGAGTTACATTTAGGCACTGTTGTGTAGAACTTTTACAGTAGCTTGTAATAGGAAAGGATGTTTATTAAGACCTTGAAATAAGATATATTTTTTAATGGGTAGTTTTTTTGTTTTTTTTAAGTAATGTTTCTACTTAGCTGCTATAGTCTATACATTTTGCATATAGAGACTCATTTCTGTAAATCATACACCACTGGTATCAGTCCTTTCGTAGCGTTTTTTTTGTTTTTGTTTTAGAGATTAAGAATTTGATCCTGGTCTTACTCAAAGCTGTGGTGTATGTCCTCCAAAATCTTGGTTTTCCTTTGCTTTCTCGCTTCAGTCACCAAGTTGTCCAGTGTATCAAAAGTTCAGTGAAGTGCGTTCCTCATTTCCAGGGATCAATCTTCCAACAATAGCCTCAAGTGCCGAACAGGTGGACCGGTTTGTTTTCCTGTCAGTCAAGTTCCATTACTCAGTATCTCGGTCCTTATAATTTCTTCACTGTAGGCCCGTAACTGCCTGTTAAAATCACTCAAAATGTTGGCTCTGTGTCTTCCTCTTTGTCTTGCTGTTTCTGTCTCCTGTTGCCTCTTGGATTTGGTCTCCCACTCTTTCTTACTCACACAAACACACACCCTCTCTCTTCTGTATGTCCCGTATGTGTGTGTGTGTGTGTGTGTGTGTGTGTGTGTGTGTGTGTGTGTGTGTGTGTGTGTGTGTGTGTCAGTGTGCACTCGGTGGATTGCTAGGGTGGCTGTTTAACTGAAAGTTTGTGCCGAGCCCAGGGTTACAGGCCTTGCCAGCTCTATAAATAGGGGGTCTATATTCCACAGTGGGGTGGGAGGCTACATGTGGCAAGCAGTATGGGAGTCGTATTTCCAGGGAGCACCCAGAGAGGCTGAGTCAGAGCTCCCTGAGTAAGAAACTGGCATTTATATGCAGTGTAATGACAGGGAGAGAGGCTAAGACTCCCATTAGAGACAGAAATTACATACAGGTCCAGAGGGATGATTATGCATCAGTGATGACAGATTCAAGCAATGCATGTCGGAGGGAAGTGGAAATGGATTAGTAGTTACTTAAAATACTTTAACCTGTGATATTAGTATGCTGTGATTTTTGATTTACAGTGTGCAAGGTGAGTCTTAGAGAAAACCACCAACTAAAATAGTTTTTGAAATTGTTTGTGGTATCAGATTGTATACAGCTGGTCAACCGTTTTTTAAACCCTCCATATAGGAATGTTTTTGTACAGGAATGTTTTTGTACAGTCCCATGCAATGAATTTTAGGAATATGGGATGGTGAAAATCATATACAATTAAGGTAGGTATAAGTGAAATTTAGTGGAAATATCTTAGATCACTGTTGATTGTGTTCCCTAATTAGATTAATCAGGTTATTGGTCTTTTAAATAAGGATGAAATCAGGCACTTTCTATATGCTTGACCATGGATTTTACACATCAAAATCACATGTGTTTGGTAGGAATACTGCACATGTTGACAAAAGTTATATAGCCTTTGGTGACTCCAGAAGGAGCTGTGCTGTTAAATTGCTTAAAAGTAATGGCATGTAGACATTCATGCTGGTGTAGTTTATGAAGTGATTTATAGGTTTTTGTTAACAGTACTTGGATGCATAAATTATTTGGGATTACATTTTACACAGTGGCCACAGCGGGAAAAGGATGTAGGGAGCCAATGGGTGTTTTTCCAGAATGAATCTGTCTCTTTCTGATTGCAAGAACCTTTGACCGTGATCAAAGGAGGCACAGAGCTGATATTATTTAGAGATGGATCATGTTTGTGGAAATTCCAGTGTTTGAGGTTAATGTCTTTGACCCTGACTGCTAGAGGAGGATATTCTGTGGAGAAAGTGATCAGTGAGGAAGTAGTTGTTGTTTTTTAACAGGGATTCCCTATCCCAGTGGTTCCCAACCTTTCTCTTTAAGGGGACCCCTTTTCTATCATTAAGTAAACTGACAACCACTGACTAAGTGACATATTTTATGGATATTTTTCATATTATATTCAATGCATAACAATAACAGTACAGAACAACTGTTAAACTGAACAATTTAACCAAACAGTGAATACAATAACTGCATGAAATCTGTGTAAAATAAGCAGTTTGGATGAATTTTAAGCAGATTATTTCCATCAGAGATGAGTTTTCCTTATATTTTTAGGAACTTCATTATGTATTCTTTTAGCTTATGCTCAGGTCTCTACTGTGCCCTTATCCTGTGAGATTTTTTTCAAGTTTATAAATTCTATAATAATCTAAACATTAGAAATCACAGAAATGAATTAAGTGTTTAGACAGAGGCATACTATGTTTACTTACACCCCTTAAAATCAAGAAGGCCTTATGACCATTTGTGAAGCTTTGGCGACCTCTAGTGGCAGTCACAACCCAGGTTGGGAACCAGTGCCCTTTCTGTATGTAAGGTCCTCTGATAGGCTGAAGAGATATGCGTGCAGCTTTAGCCAATTGATTGACTGATTACTCTCTGCTTCAATAGTACTGTTCTTTTCCTTGTCAAGTCTTTCGTCTACAAAGTGAATGAAAGTTTTGTGCTGTTCCACGGTGAAAGAAAGATAGTTAGTTGTAAAATTTATATATTTTATTAAATCAGTCAACTTTCCTCTATTACCATTCCATATGACCACCTCCATATGATCATCATTGTGTCTTTTTCAAAAAGCAGTCTTGAACAAAAGTTTCAACAAGAACATCTAGACTTTGGGTAATGCTTTAGCCCCATCATTGCTTGTCTTGCTATGAGTCTTTGTGAGGAGATATTCATTCATAACCAACTCCAAAAACACATTTTTGTCCAAAATTGCTTTGTGAAAAAGATATATAGATGATATTGTGGTCATATGGCGATGGTCATACCATACACCACTGTGTTTGGCGCATTAAAGTGACCCAAACTAAGCATGTGGCACACTTAGATTTGCAACAAAATCAGAGGTTGTCATAGGAGCCTAAAGACGGCCGTGGCTCAGCAGGTAAAGCAGATCGTGTAATCGCCGGGTTGGTGGCTCGATCTCTGGCTCCTCCTGACCACATGTCAAAATGTCCTCGAGCAATAACTGAAGCCTGACTGTTCCTGATGGTTAGGCCAGTGCCTTGTATGGATGTGTGAGTGTATGTGTGAATAGGTGATTGAAGGGCAAATGGTAAAGCGCATTGGATAAATGACTGCAGTCCATTCATCATAAAGACAGTGAGTGCACGGCTGAATAAGGGTCACAGTGTAAGAAAGTGAACATTTAAACTGTACAGAGAAGATTATGAATGCAGGGCAGACAGATGATAATGGCTACCACTCGCATCTGAACTTGCTTTAGCTATTGAATGTAAGTTAACTATGGGTCATTTTCAATAAAATAAAAATGCAGTTTCTCAGTTCAATTTTCTCTGAAATAGCTTTTTATGATAGGAAATGGACCACAATTCTTGAGATTTAACAAAAGCTGCTAAAAGGCTATAAGCTGTCTGACTGTCAGTGTGTGTACAGAGCCTCATATCTATTATCAGATATGTCAAAATAGTGGCAGGCCGTGGTGGGAGCCAGAGGGAGCTGTTGACCTTACCTCCTGCTAAAGGTTGCTGCGCTGCGACTGTAAAATGGGAACGAGAATTGTGCAAACAAGTCTGATACCTATTCCACGATTATTACTATTAATAACAATAATAATAACAAGACTGTACAGCAATACCTTGTAGTATATGTAATGTGTCTTTTCTTTTAGGTCTGATACAAAGACATGCAATCAACACAAAAAGAAAAAAACAGCAATGTATTTACAATTTACAAAGAATCACTTCTCTGTGAAAATAGCACTTATAAATATGATTTACATAACAAAATAAATATGTAAATTACCAATATAGCTTGAGTTTTCTTCTGTTAAAAAATATGTTACAGAATAAAATTACAATTAGTAATACCTTTCCTTCTCTGGTGTGATGCAAAATAGAGGTCCTTTAAAACATCATTTATAAAGACATCATTACATACAAACATTGTCATTATATTAAAAAGTGATCTCTATTATGAAATATAAGAAGGGAGTTACAATAGTGAACATTTGAAAGAACCTATACAAAAACTCAAAAAAATATACAATACACGATATTTGTCTCCCTTTAAATGTTCATTGCATTGATCTGAGAATTGCTGAACTAATGAGGTGATTTAACATCAATGTGAACCCAATGTTCGGGTTTGTGATGATGTGGCCTGTGAGAAAGAGGTATAGACTAGATATAATGGCACTGTGGTGTATGTATAGATACTGATAGACCTTAAAAGGATTTCCAGGTCCACTTTAGGACCACAATCAGCTTCAGGAAACAATTAAACCAGGCATTATGGCATCTTCACAGCTTTCGAAACTGAGAATATGCCACTGCGTTGTCAGGAATGAGTTACCTCTACGGGGACCTTTTCTCTTAACCTGTGATAATCATAATAATGACAATATAAAATGTGTCTTTTGTTCTTTTTTACTGTTTCCTTCAATTCATTAGCAAGGAACATCTTTTGTCAGTTTGCAGCTCATTTCTGTAGCCTGACTATGTAAAGAGGGTGTTAACTGGTTTTATACCACAAGTTGATTAGAGGAGTATTGGTGTCACTTGTCTCTCTCTATTGTTCTCGCCATTATTTTAGAGATACAAAGTTTCCTTCCTGATCCAGTGCTTATCTCACCTTATTATGTCCCTGTTTCTGTCTTGATGTAGCTTTTTTTTGTGTGATGATATGTTGTTAGAACCAACTACAAAACAGAATTATGTCCTTATAAACTCTATAGTGACTACTTAACAAAGACATCATTCTTACGTCATTGTGGCTTCTTTTTTTTAAAACAATGACTAAATATAATCTATATGGAAGGACGAAAATAATATAAAAAAAAACAAAACATCAATGAGCATCCTTAAAACTGGATTTGTGATATTTTTTTTTCTTTTACAAAGCAAAAGATAATTTAAATGGAGAGTAGCAGAGAGTTGTGCCTTGTCGTGGTGTTGTGTTGCCCCTGTACTTGTCATCAGTTGTGAGGAAAAGGGATTGTGGGACAAATCTAAGCCCCTGTGTTTGACTGAGGCCTGGATTAAAGTAAACAGTATTTCAGAGGAGAGTCGACTATAGGTAGAATGGGTTGTGAAGGTGGATGGGTAGTTGGAGGTATCAGGCATGGGAGACCGGCCAGGGAGACCTGCCAGCCCTGCTCGGACTTAGCTTGTAGATACTGTGTGTCCCTTTAGCTGCCGCTGCTGAGCATGCCCAGTAGCTTGCTGGGGTCCATGCCCTGCTGCTTGGCCATCTTCTGCACATCAAAGCCCATGTGCATGAGGAACTGAATGACGTTCATCTCTTGTCCTGTGAACTGGTCTCGGATGGTGGGGCAGGTGGGGTTGCAGTGTGGCCACGGGCAGCTGTCGATCAGATGTACAGGGCAGCCTTTGGGTGGAGCCTTGTTGTTCCTGTTGTCATGGAGACTGCGGTCCCAGCAGTGCAGCGCTCGGGGCAAGGAAGTTCCTTTAACCTGCACGTCAATCCAGTAACTAGAACACAACACAAGAGGGCGCTGTGAGCTCACAAGTAAGAAAGCCTCAACCAGATTAGTGTCAAAATGATAAAGACTGGTTATACTGGACTCACTTTCTGGTGATAACTTCGTGTGATAGGCACGCTGGAGCGAACATAGCCCTGGAGGGGGGGGGAGAATTGATAAACAAATCTGAATCCATTCACTCATCCTACTTGGATTAACGTCCTTTATAATGCAGAGATTTGGCCTTACGGGACGTCCTTGAGTGTGTTCCTCAGCTCAATGCCCAGGTTCTCGATGTAGCGCCACTGGCCTTCCTGCACGGGCTGGCCTGTTAGCTGGATGTTGTCCACTGTCAACTGGGCCTCATCAAACAGCCACTGGACAACAAACACAGGGCCTGCACAGGGAGAATGGATGAACAAGATTAATATAGGATGATAGTATACTCAAACATGTACCACACAGAGGTTTTGGGCTTGCAAACACACTAACATTAGCATGTTTAGATACAGAATGAGACCCCAAACTCACTTTTTATTGATGGGAACACTCTATATCCAAAGAAACAGTTCCACTCCTCTCCTTCGTGGGCTTGCCTGCACCTCTCTGGTACCACTCCTCCCCAGTACCTGACGCAGCAGGTGAGAAGGACAGACATTAGCAACTTGATCATCTCGTCCCCTTACTAAAATACCATTAAGCCGCTCAGTGGCTCCCATACTTGATTCCTCTCTTGATGGTCTCAGTGGGGGCACAGCTGACAGCGTCCACGCAGTCCGTGCAGTGGTACTGCTTGTTGTCCAGGAACCAGCCAGAATCGGACAGGCCTCGCACTTGTATCCCAGTGTGCCCCAGTTCCTCCAGCAGCTCTGCCACATGGTCCACATTCAGGAGGACCCCAGTACCACCCGCGCTGCATGAAGAAATATGACATGAGTACTGTTCATACCCATACAGGGATACAAAGGAAATGTAGAATATTTTAAATTTGAAATCACAAGCAAACACGAACATACCTGCTTCCCGCTAATAGGAGAACTTTAGCGTTGTCCAGACCTTTGTTCAGCAGGTCCTTCACAACTTCTTGAATAATCAGTGAGCCCATGAAGGCATAGCCACCTGCACACAACACAAAGGGAGCAGATCTGTAGAATAACACTTTTCTTAAAACGGATTACTTGTCATTGTACTCTTGTTTTGATGATTCAGTCTTGTCTTACTCTGCTCTGTTTTGGCTGTCGCACCGCTCCACACATCACTGGAGCAGTACGGGATGAACCTGCGCAGCAAACATAAAGTTAAAGTTGCCAACTATGATTAAAAAATTGAGCTTCGATAAACATGCAAACATGAGTCAACTTACACCATGTTGGCATTCCACCAGTGAGGGTTTTCCTCAGGCAGCGGAGACAGGATCCCCGTGCCTGCAGAGACAGATCAACATGTATCATTAGCCATCCTGGCACTCCCAGACACATCCTCTTCTTCCTCATCATCATTACCACATGGATTACAGTTATTACACTCCAGTGAGAGAGGGAGGCGTCTCTGTTCCTACAGCAGTGGGCGCCAGGTAACCCTACACCACAGCTACATTATGACGGGGTGTTGGTTGCAATAACACTGCAGATGAACACAGATACATCCGATCCTTTTAATTACCGAGACATTACAGTGAGATATGTGTGCTTTTATCACCATGTTAGGAGGTCAGGATTTGCTACAGGCCCCAGCTGGAGCACGAGCGGTGCTTATTGGAGCACAGTGAACTATACAGTAGCTGAGGCTGACCTGTTTTAGTTTGGGGCCACTTGGAAGAGCTCATCAATCTTCTCATGGTCTCATATCGGCTGTCACAGTTCTCCTTGTTGAAGCAGTACCAGCCGCCTGGAAAGAGATCCACAAAAAATAGTGATAATTACTCACACAAATTGTCTAATATTATTCTTATTTTGAGCATGAAAGCAGAAACATGATGAAATTTGTTACATTAGTCCTTAATACCGACCCTCTAAGAATATCAACCACCGTCTGCTGCCTCGAGATTCTTTCAGATAGTACCTACAAGAGACCAAAGAATATGAAATCAGCACATCAGGAGCTTGAATGGCGTGCAAATATTAAAAAGAAGTTGTTGTTTTTATATACTGCCTGCATAACATGTGTAAACAACAGATAGATACAACCACATTCCACCTCTTTGATAATGTGTTCTTTCTTGAGAAAGATGAGATAATCACTGAAAGGCGATACCCTCACTGTTTCTACCACCAGTGACGGTATCCAAGCATGAAATATAAACAAACACAAAATCATCACTTTAATCTAAACAAGGATGTCCTGTTGCTGTGTTGATTCTTATCTTTCAAAGGTGACAAAAAAAACAGGTAAAATTAAATTCTGCCAACATAAATTCAGCGAGAACAATGAGGTTGTGTGCACAGTAACTGATATCGATCACACCGAGATAAACATCTCGTCCCCTATCCTGTTTGTACTGTAGATGCCAGTAGATGGTATTCGTGTTTGTTTAATGTACCATCATAGTCTCTTCACTCTGAGCTCATCATTCCTCAGCAGTGTCCTCACACACGACGTGGATCAAATCAAGGCTCAGGCCAAAGAGGAATGATATGATGGAATAACACAACAATATTTGGCCTGCGCTAATGTCAATACGTAGACATTCGACTGTCTGTCCCTCGAATATGTCCTGGACTAGGACTGAAAAGAAGTGAATGCCCACTAGAATATAAGAGATATGTGCTGTATGTTGTAAGCCCAGAAGAGGGCAATGCTATCATGATTCTCCCATGTTGCAGAACGCACTCATGTCTGATGCATCACCAAACCTTTTTTCAACAGGGTTTTTATTTAATAGCAAAACAAAATCACATGCGAGGCCAGTTAAAAAAATTCTTGTTTGTAAAGTACCTTTAGCCATAGAAGCAAGATGTGCTTCTGTGACGTTGTGTGTGTTTTTTTTTTTTTAATTCAATCAGTATCCACCCGACTTTACCAGTGACTAAACTCAAGAGGATTGCCAAAAACATTTCAGTGACTTTAAAGAAAACAGACTTGGCTGAAGCTCTGAGCTGTTCGCTCAGACACTGAATCACACTTTGGCTGCAGTTAATGTCTTGTGCTATTATTGTGAGCCACAGTCAATGATGTAGGCTGAGGACAGAGCACTCTACTTACTACTTCCAAACAACAAAGTGAAGGCGGGCTTGGCGAGCTGATGAAGCCAAAAGGCGCTCTAACAAGTGCAGCTCCAGAAGATGAATCACACCACCACCTTCCTGTCTATTGTGAATGATTTTATTCTTGTTGCATCCTTGTTTATCTGTAACTGTAACAACGCCTCTCTTGTAACACTGTTACACTGTTAGGAGCTGATGGATTAGCATCTCAACTGACAACACCCACAGTAGTGAATGAAGCGGCCATCTGCCAGTAACTGTCTCCTGCTCTCGTCCTCATGCTGCGTCTCTTAAGAGCTTTACATCTCTCGCTCCCACTTTGGGGTTTAACAGGAATTAGACAGGATAGTAAATCCATTAAGAGACATGTATAGCATTTCAGTCAAGTCTGACTGTGTACGCACAATGGGAGACAGTCACCAAAGCCTCCAGATATGGTACAGATAACAGTAACAGTAAAGCATTTATATAATACTGAAAACGGCAAATAATAATGACTACACTACATGATGATGATTGAACAGTGCTTTTCAATGTGGCTACAGAGAAATAGGAGCATGCAATCTTCTTTCATTGTGGCACAATTTGTATATTTGTGTTCTTGTGTTGCAGATATAATATGTTTGAGACACAAGCAAAGACACTTAGAGACAAGAACCGTGTAAATACATGTATGAATATTAAAAAGGACACCTGCTATAACTCAATTATCAGTATTATTTGTATAAGAATCAGTTTAACCTACATGACACAATTTGACTCCCTGCAACCAAATAGAATACAAATATCCAGAGACACTGTACCTTGTTTATGTATTGATAAACAACAGGAGATGCAGTGGATCTGGCTGTTAGTGCTTTTAGTTCCATGGCTTATCCCGCTCAAGCAAAGAAATCATGCAGGCTTCCTTACTGCCAAATGGATTCCTGCTTAACAGGACTACTTTACAGTAGCCAAGTTGGAGAAAACATACTGTTAAATGGCTGTAAAATCACAATTCAACAGTATGCGCACTGCAATCATCAGACAGAGAGAGATGGGCGGGTGTCTGAAAACTTAAACCTAAACTTTCTGCAGAGCAAATCCTGCATTCTAATTTGAAGCAAAGGAAATGAAGCATAGGCCATGTGGCTATCCGCAAATTTCACGCTTCGCTGACGCAAAGCAGCTGTCTATCTTATCCAGACTGAACCTCATTCTGTCCCAGAACATTACTTTCTTACGAAAACGTCCGCGTTGATTTTTTTATTTTTTAAGTTTCTATATTTTCATTTTTTATTTTTGTTGTCAGCATGTGAATATTTTAGAGATTGAACCCTAATTTTGAACATTTGCAAAAAAAAAAACAAAACAAAACAAAAAACTTGTTTTTTTTGCGCCCACTCTCCGTTGAGACGAGCGTTGCTGTCCTCAGGCCAGAGACATGTGGGTTACTTCGGGTAGCAAGATGACCAGCAGGGACGGGGTGCGCCCCTGCTGAAGCTACAACACCAGCTCCAGGGTGCACCGCTGCACGGCCGACAATGCTCTGACCTGTCGGCGATCCAATCACATCCTCATTTATCACATTGTGCGTGTGCGTTCTCGGTTGGTACATACCCCGCCGGACTTCCGTCGTTGCAGGTGACTGACGTATTCTCCAAAAAGTTCAGCTTCATGTCGTAGTCGAGCTTCTGCGCCGAGCACGGGTAGAGGGACTGCGCAAGGTTCTTCACTTGTGTCATGAAGTTATCCATGTTCTCCTCCACGGCGGTGAAATCCAGAGGGAAGCTCTCCGTGGTGTCACCCCGGTCCGCCCGGTATGTGGGAGGAGGTGGTGAGCGTCGTGGTTGCGGGTTGCGGCCACCCCGGAACCTCCGTGCGCAAAGAGCCCCGGACTGCATCAGCACCAGCAGCAGCACTGATGAAACCATTCTGATCGCTGTCATCTTTCAGCCCCGGCGTTAGATGTCCTTCCTCCAAATGCAACGTCTCGTCAGGGGAACACAAAAAGTTTACTGATGGAGCAGAAAAAGGGTCGACAATTACGCACGGTTTAAAAAAAAAAGAAGATGCCACAACACTCTCATCCGCTCCCAGAAACGCACAAATTGAATATAAACTAAAGGTTTTTTTTTAAAAAAAGTCCTTTTAGATAAATCACAGTCATCCACTCAATTCTCTGGATGTATTTCAAACTTCCAAAGAATGCGCCTACAACAGTTTTTGCCAATCTATCTGCTGCAACTCACCAAGCGCACAAGCCTCAATGACAACACTGGTGCCATGCTCTTGTATTTTATTCAAACTTTCCCCCCTTGTGTGTCCGTCCAGCCAATCGCAAGAGCGGGGCAGGACTCAGGGCATGATCAAGCGTGGCAGACTACCCCCCTTTTTTAATTTATAGAGGGAAAAAATGTCCATGCGTTGGTTCTTTTGATCCGCGAAGTTTTATTTGATGTGGTGGCTTTTATTGGCCTTGAAATGCCCATTTCCCATTCCACCACAAATTTATGAAGTGAGAATACGCATCTTGTTACACACTTGCCTGAAAATCAAGTGGGGAAAAAAACAAAACATGGTCAAAACTTGTGCACAGCTCCAACAATATTTGGCCAGGAGGAGCAATTTCTCAAGATACTTGAGACTCAAGAGAAATGTATTTATTATTTATATTATTATTATTATTATTATTATTATTATTATTATTATTATTATTTGTCCACTTATTTTTAAGGCAGAGGTTTTTCTTTTACAGTATCATCCTCCACTCCTAAAAAAACCCCACACATACCTCTTCTAAAGAATCCCTTTCACTTCTGTTGAGTTTCTCATGTTTTCTTAAGGTTTAGAAAAAGGGGACTTGGACACTTGTTGTTTTTTTTTAATCCAGACAGGGCCTCCAAAGATCAAAGCAACCATCACTCTTTCTCCCTCCCCCCCCCTTTCGTCTGGCCTCCTCCCTCCCTCCTTCAGTCTCTTCCAAACTTTCCTGGTCTACTGTATATTTTAAGTCGAGCAGAGAATCCTGACGGGGAGCCAACTTTTTAACACAGGAATGCCTCGTTACGGTTGAGGTGGGCTTCCCCTGAACAACCTCTCATTTTGAGGACACATTTAAGTTAAAGTGCAGCCTGCAGACCCAACGTGATTAATCATCAAGGTAACACTTCATGGTGGTGTTTTGGTGACTTTTGTCTTTGATTGAGCTCATTCCTACCATGCTAAACTAACTGACATTGACAGTTTAGTTTCATGGGACTGAACATTTCAGGGGATGGCTGGCAATTTTGATACTACTAACTACTAATGCACTTTGCATTTCTACTTTTGTAATAGTCTACCTGTAGCCTAAATGTTTACTTGAAGCAACAAGCTCTTTAAGGGGACAGTGTGTGAGCAAAGGTACAGTTGCTGTAAAGCACAGACTCAGGTAGCCTATTGATATGGTCTTATTGATGCAGTATAAGCTTTGGCAGTAAGGTCGGAGTGCAAGGGCCTCATGTTCGGGCACTGAGAGCCGTATTTCTTTAGATATCAGAGGTAGTTGTGTCTGTCAGTTAGAATCATCAATTCATGATCAGTTTGATCAGTTTTCCCTCACTGAAGCATTTTTTAATGTTTGATTTCCTATGGGAATATTCATTTGTGTGTCAAAAAAGAAAAGACATTATTGTAAGCATGAGTCATGATATAATTCCTCCGCCAGAACAGAATTTTAGAAGATGCCCTAAACACAACATCATAACTTTAAAACTGCTTCACATCCTATCAGAAGAAGAGCCTCAAGTCTCCGTGCTTAATCACTGTGCCAAAAGGATGCCGAACTGTTCTGAGCCAGGTAAGATGGATATGAAGTCACCAGCCGGACTGATGGTATTCATTGAGGAACTTCAAACAGATGCTCATATAGATTAAAACATGTGGTAGGGCCCAAGAGGAGAGGCTCTGTCACAGATTGAGCCTAGTCACTTTGACCCATACCTCCCTGTTTTATCACACGTCATCCCCAAAAATGTAACCCTTAAATCACTCGCAGATGGACGCTGGCCTCTGACACACACACACACTACCATGAAGAGATGCCCCGGCGGTGTGTCGAAATGTCCTTTGACCCGAGCGAGTGAGAAGCGTGAGCTGCAGATGCTCGAACTTCGAGTGATCTGAATGTGTAGATTCAGAGAGCGAACAGGAGGGATTCTGTGTTAAATTTACAGTACGAGACAGAGCTAGAAACACTGGTTATCCTTGCTACTGTTCGGGCGTAGTGGTTTGTTCTCTACTGTGCACCTTGTTTGAACTCCACGTGCTAAGCCTTTCTGGCTTTCACTGGTAATTCTCTCTCTCTCTCTCTCTCTCTCTCTCTCTCTCTCTCTTCTCTCTCTCTCTCTCTCTTTCTTCTCTGCCTCCCATCGTCTGTGTGTAGTGTAGACACAAATTTAACCATGCAAGTCCGAATGGATTAATCCTAGATTTAGGTCATTTGAAAATGACCCAGCTGTTCTGATGGCAGTCTCTCAGAAGTGCCCCCGTAGCCCCCGTAGCCCCCACCCCAACTCCAGGCCTCCTGTGAAAGTCAAAGCCTGTCTTTCATCTCCGATCAGTTGCATGTGCCCTCATAGATCCACAGGTTTTACTGCTTAAGTCTGGGCTGGCAGCATTGATCATGTGACCGTTGCCTGCCTGGCGTTTAGACACATCATAGCTCTGCGAGTGCTCTCTGTCTGCGCAGCCTGCCAGTTCTGCTCACACATCCCCATCGTCCGTCTCCCCATGCCTGTTAGTTTTGATTTGCACATGCTGTTGTCGAGGGTCCATCCGTGATCATCAAATCCTGCTAGTTGGAACTGTTAGGTCAGGTTACATCAAAGAGATCAGGAGGGATCAGCCTCTTGAAAGGGACAGGCTCTGGCTCACATCATCAGAAACAGGTGGAGGTCCTCATTGGAAGAACAAAGGAGAGATCACCATCTATAAAACTTTTATATTTCATAGAAGAGTTTCTTTAAATCCCTTTAAATTGCCACCTTCTCCTACATGGAGTGGGCAAACTACACAACATTAGCATAAAACATATGATATCAGGTTTGAGATTGTGGGACTCGACCGCAGCAATAAATCCAGTGAAGGTCACAACAGCAAAGCCTGAGACTTAGTGGAATTATAGCCACAAAGTGTCTTAAGTGTGGAAATCTGCAAAAAGCCAGGACAAAAAGGAAAGTGGAAATGTATGGAATACACTTCAGGTGTTACAAATTAGTTGAAACGTTGTCGAAACCTTCAGAGGTTTTGTGTATATAAAAGTAATCTTCGGCTAACATTTCTGTGCTGCACCAGGCTTTGACATATTCTTTATTTCTTGTCATAGCTAGTTAAGGGTAGAATCGTGATATTGTACTTAAAAAAGACATTTAGTAGATATTATTCATACAAATATACCACCTCCATTAGTTTTATTAACAAGTTGATCCGACTGTAATGTTAGAGAGCTCTGACGTTTTAGGCCCCTTGTGAAAACGTCTCAAGCTTCAGCTTCTGTTCTGTGTCACCTTGAGACAAACCTCCGGAAGCAGGTCCCCTTAATTTCATGTTGAAACTATTGTTTAAAACCCAAAACAAACATGTACAGAGGGTTGTGGGTGTTAACACGCTGTGGAGTTCCTTTTATGTGCCCCCCACCACATGTTCCTGATATTACCCAGAGAATCAGTAAACAACCTTGATCCTGACTTAAGTCAAGAAGTGCCATCTAAGATGTGGATGTAAATGGGGAGTAAGAGAGAGTAAGAGAGGCAGGAGACATCTGTCGAGCAGGCTCTCATTTCGTAAGAGGAGGCCGTCTATTGGTTACAGATGATGCCCTGTTTGATAAAAATGAACTCTTTCAAGATAGGACAGCCTGTATTAGGGGTCTCTCTGGCACCAAGGGGTAATCAAATAGTTCAGCTGACAGGTCAGCTGTTTGTTGTCCATCTTTCATCTGAATGATGGTCACAAAATAGTTGCCGCGGCCTGTAAACAGTTCTGTCACGTCACTCATACTAGGCGAGATGGATGTTTGTGTCTGACAGGGTGAGGGGTACGTGCGAGTTTCGCGTGTTTGCCTGCATGTGTTGGCGTACGGGGAGGATGAATGAGGCGGACCCTGGCTCTCTTGGAGGTACCGGTGCGTGAGTGCGCGGCCTTCCTTCAAGAGTTTTCCATTCATGCCTAGTGCTTGAATCACCCTTTGCAATGCCCTCTGCCAGGTAGACAGAGGAGGGAGCAGAGACCAATTACCATTCAAAACCTGCTATTATTATCATCAGAGAGGCGGCAGCCCTCCTTCCCCTGCGCTTATTCTCATCTCCACAGAGACAGAAGGAGAATCGGGCTCTTTTGTCTCGGAAATGTTTATTTATGCCACAGATTTGCCAAAGGACATGGAAAAGCCCTTATTACAGGTCATGACAGTAGAGCCACAACACATTATTCATTTTCTGTCCTTTAACCTGGTAGTCTCTTTGGGGAAATTCTTTTGAAGTCCACACCCTGTAGTAAAACATGGTCATTATTCAATTATGTGAGAGCTGTATTTGAAACAGTTTCGAGGCTGTAGAACTTAAAGAATCTTCTTAGGAAAGGTTGAGAATTACCATTATTTTTATTTCTGGTTTTATAAAGAATACAAATATGAAGGAGAGAGAGTTGTTGTCACGCAACATAAATCTGATGTCGAGTTGAAAGTCTTGGTGCCAGTTTTTCAGACAGGGATTAAGACTTGTTTTAGACCGGAGATATACTTGCTTTTAACTACATGTTCGCTAACACATGATGGCTGACTTGTGTATCCCGCGTATCCGTTTGGACAGTTTTTTGTGTCCGTGACGCAAACGCATGGTTAGACAGCAAGTTTATCTCCGGCTTTAGACTGAAGACAGAATTCACTGGAAATATCCACTAAAAAGCACCATAGTCTTGGACCAGACTTAATCCCTGTCCGGGAAATCGGCCCATAATGTTGTGAGTACACGGTATGTGCTTCCATCCACTGAGCCACTGGGACACCATTAGTGCATGGTATGTGGCTCATTATTTTTGACACTCTCTTAACACCAAGCAGCCGTTTTCTTTTATCCTCTCAGCAAGAAGATGAGGCTACTGTAATCAAAGAAGACAATGATCAGTGCCAGCCTCTTGGCCTGGCCTGGTACCTGCTTTGATGTCATATTTTGGTGTATAGCGGGCTGTGGCCCATGCCAAAGAGCACCCATAGTCG